AGTCTTTTATTACAGGAGAGAGTGAAGGGGGCACTCATAAGATCCCTCTTCATTGGACTGAAAGACATGGATGTGTTATCCCTCAAACTAAAGAGGGGAGAAATAATCATAAAAGATATTAGATGTGTGTCTCTTGCGCGAGCTTTACTCGAATCAATATGTATGAAATGAAACAAAAAAATACAATTTACACACTACAGGAAGATACAGAAACAGGAAATGTATCAAAAATACAATTTACACACTACAGGAAGATACAGAAACAGGAAATGTAACAAAAAAATACAATTTACACACTACAGGAAGATACAGAAACACAAAAGTGGCGAAGCTGGACCTGCAAAACACACACACACACACACACACACACACACACACACACACACACACACACACACACAACTCAGTTTCACATACAAAACATACCTAAAGAGGGGAGAAATAATCACAAAAGATATTAGATGTGTGTCTCTTGCGCAAGCTTTACTCAAATGAGACTAAAGCAATCGATCTCAGGAGACTGAGACCAGACTGAGACCAGTCTGTAGATCACAGGTTAAGATTGGAAATACTTTAAATATTAGAATTTTAACACGTTAGAATTAAATAACAATGAAAAACGAACTCTCTTAATACATTTAATAAACATTCAGCTTTCCTTTACCCCACAACAGTCTAAAGAGTATCAATTCCCAACTTATCACAGATGCTCCAATTGCCTTCTTTTTTAATCTAGAAAAGAAGGAAGCAAGGAAAAAACTCATGGCCCGTCTGCATCTTCCTGATGGGAGGATCACAACAGACCCGGCAGAAATGAGACAACATGCAATAGACTTTTATTCCTCTCTGTTTGGGGCTGAGGACTGTGACCAGAGCTGTGCTGCAGAGATTTTACAGGGTTCAACGATGGAAAGAAGGCGGACATGGATAAAGAGCTGAGCCTAGAAGAGCTTCCCACATCAGCGCAGCAGCTGGCTAAAGGACGAGCTCCAGGATTAGACAGGCTGTCGGCTGATTTCTACCAGCAGTTCTGGGGCGTCCTTGGTCCAGATCTTCAGTCAGTCTTTTTAGAGTATTTTAAAAGAGGGGAGCTGCCATCCTCATCCCGGAGTGCTGTTGTCTCTCTACTACCAAAAAGGGAGACCTGGCCTCATTAAAAAACTGGAGGCCTGTGACACTTCTGTGCACAGACTACAAAATACTGTGCAGACTCAAACAAAACATTGACCTAATGGTGCACATGGACCAGAGCTACTGCATCCCTGGGAGAACAATAATGGACAATCTCTTCCTGTTGAGGGATGTAATCCACATCAGTAAAGTGTTGGCTATAAACATCCTGTTACTTGACCAGGAAAAGGCTTTTGACAGAATTGATCATGCATATATGTTTTCAGTATTTCGTGCTTTTGGTATTGGAGAGGTTTTCACATCATGGGTGGGTTTGTTATACAATGGTGCAAGCTGCATGGTGAACGTTGAGAGGGGGCTGAGTACACGTATACAGGTCCAGAGGGGAATAAGTTAGGGCTGCCCTCTCTCTGGTCAGTTATACAGTTTGGCTATTGAACCTCTGCTTAACAACATAAGGAACAAACTTGAAGGTTTCCATCTGCCCAACAGCCCACTCAGCTTGCCTCTAACATTGGCTGCTTATGCTGATGATGTAAATGTTTTCATAACTGGACAAGCTGATGTGTGCTTGTTGAGAGAAAGCCTTAGACTGTACCAAAGAGCATCATCTGCTCATGTTAACTGGGCTAAATGTGAGGCCCTGTACTGTGGCTCTTTAAACATAAACCTGTTAAGGCCTGTTCTTCCATCAGGACTTCAATGGAAGAGGAATGGGATGAAGGTTGTCGGGGTGTATCTGGGAGATAAGGATTTCCAACGACAGAACTGGGAGGCTGTAGCGGCAAAAGTGTGTGCTAGGTTGTCTAAATGGCATTGGCTACAGCCTCAGCTGTCATACAGGGGACAAGTTTTGGTCATTGCTCATTGCTTCATTGCCTGTGGCACAGGCTGAAGGTTTTATCTCCAGCGGGGAGCCTGGTCGATGACATCCAGAAGCATCTGGTGGATTTCTTCTGGACTGGACAGCACTAGATTCGAGCTGCTGCTCTTTATCTTCCAGTGGAGGAAGGAGGACAGGGACTGGTGGATATAAGAGCAAAAAGGATGTCCTTCAGACTGCAGACTGTCCAGAGGCGGCTGTACCAGTGTGGTCTGCAATGGCTGGAGACTGCGGAGCAGCTACTACAGAGAGTAAGTAGACTAGGATACAGCAAACAGCTGTTCCTGGTCTGGCTGGATGAGGTGGATCTCACCGGCCTTACACCTTTTATACCTCAGTCCTGGAGGCGGGCAGGGTCTGAAACACACCAGGGACCCCACTGCTTCACCTGGCAGGTGGCTCTTGGAGGAACCATTACTACATAATAACTTTATAACATCACAAATACTGTCATCTTCCAGTCTGTTCTGTGCTCTGAAGAACAAATGCCAGCTTTTAAACTTTGTTTTAGGGCAGGCTAAGATGGCGGTGTATTTTAGCCGGAGGAGGAAGGTGGAGGATGGTTTTATTGTTGAGCCTGTCACTGTGTGTACCAATATGATGAAGTCCAGACTCCTCATTGATTTTAACTATTACAAAGCAGCAGGAGATCTGGACTCGTTCCAGCAGGTTTGGTGTTTTAATCAGGTGTTGTGTTGTGTGGAAAATCACACACTGCAGCTTGGAGATGTGCTCATGTGAATGAGGTATTTATTTATTTATTCATTTATTTATTTACTCTGAGGAGTAAGGATGTTTAAATATGTTATGTTCAGATGATTGTTTGAAAAATAACGGAAAATAAAGTTGATCCAAAAATCAAAAAAATCTCTCTCTCTCCCTCCCTCTCTCTCTCTCTCTCTCTCTCTCTCTCTCTCTCTCTCTCTCTCTCTCTCTGTTTCTATGCAAATGCTAAAATGGCTGACTGTTAATATACCATGCAGTCTAAGTAAATCTGTGTGGTGACATATATATCAGTTGCTGCTGTCTCTGCTCTGAGAACAGGCCTGTGCTTTCACACTGTAACAGAGCTCTGAGTGGAGGAAAGAGACAGCAGAGAGAGTTGACAATGGCTAAGATAAAAAAAAAAGCTGACTCAATCGATCAGGACTCAGCTCATGACGGACAGACACTTTTTATCTTTTTAAAATGACAAATTAAAACCAATCTGTATAAGATATAGTATTTTTATTCCAAATCTAATCAATCTGTCTGCCACTGCAGGGCTGTGTGCTGTCTCATCAACTGCTGGACGTCAGTACCATTTTATTTATGACCTGAAGAACATGACTGAAGCCCAGAGTTACTGCAGAGAACATTACACAGACCTGGCCACTACAGACAACATGGACGACGTGAATACCCTGAACAACAAGGCAGATTTAAGCCAAATGGTCTACTCTGAATACAGCCATGTGAGTTCACTTTTGTCTTTATTTCATTTCAAAACCATTTTTGACAATTATAAGCTATTATAAAGAGTATTTCCATTGACTTTATACTCCACTACATTTCAGAAAACACTGTAAGCAGCACTTTAATGTTGTGTCTAATCAAACTGGGGCTTTAAGTTTAACTACTTTAGATACTGTTGGGTAGTTTAGTCTCTAGAAAATATGTGATGTTTTATGTTTTTATGTCTATAATTGCCATAAGACTGCTGAACACTATATAACCATTCCCCCTTCTCTCCCCCTCCTCATCCACACACCTACTCAGGACATAGCCATCTTATATTTATCTTTGTAAATATCTTTATATTGCGTTATTTTTATTTGTCTTTTATACAAAATATATATTTATCGCATTTTTCTTATTTGTATTATATACAAAAGTTATTTTACATAAAATTGTGCAATATATATTATCTACGGGTTTTTTTTATATAAAAGTTTTATATCTGCAAATCTATTTTAAGACTGTACATACTGCCTTTTCTTTTCTCAATTTCCTGTTGTGCTGTGTGCCATTGCAACATAATTTCATTTTGATGCAAATCCAAATGACAAATAAAGTCTGTCTAAGTCTAAGTACCAAAAATCTGAAACTACATCATTACTAATAACAAAATGTAGTGTAGTTAAAAAGTACAATATTTCCCTATAAAATGTAGTAGAGTAGAAATATAAAGTGCTTGTACGTTATGCCGTTCCTCTAGTGAGGACAGTCTTTTAACTCCTTAGCAAAGGTAAACTGGGGTGATGTGGAAAGTTGAAGCTGTTAATTAACATTAATGACGCCACGCAGCTAATTTGCAAGCTAGCTTGCTTGTTCACCTGCCTCAAACTTGGCAAAGTAACGTTACATTATACTGTCGCAGATTGTTAAATGTGACTTTTCATAGTCTTCATGGCATTAATTATTACTGCACCCAAAGAGGAGAAGATCATGGCAGGACTAAAAAACCAAGTTCACACTCTTCTGTGGAGTCTTAAGGCGGTTGGCATCCATAAATGTTGCATTACTACTGGATTTCAACAGTTTCACAGTACAACCCACACCCACAGTGACTCCATTCAGGACATTGTTCATTTTATAACTCAGATCCATGTTGGGTTGATGAAAACCCTTCCCTCAAGTAACATCTAGATCTTCTCCAGATATGTCTTCAACGTCCAAGAACCTCCTAGCAACATCCAGCACAAGAGACTGTGTGTGTGTGTGTGTGTGTGTGTGTGTGTGTGTGTGTGTGTGTGTGTAGTCTATAACCAGTGTTAGAAAAAGTACTGAGATATTTGATTTAAGTAAAAGTAGCAAAACAACAATGTAAAGATTCTCCATTATTGGTTTATTAGTTACATATTCAAGGTAAAAGTCCTGCATTTATAGTAATACAAACTTTCCCTATTTACAGTTATATTTTCATGAACACTGATTTATTGACATGTACATGTAAGCAGCATTTTAAAGTTGTCAACATGAAGCTCGACTGCAATAAATGTAATGGATGATAAGATAAATACAGTTATTTTAAAATAACTAAGAGTTGTACTTGTCATGGCCCTGCTCCTCTCCTGCTCCCTTTGCTCCTCCTCCCTCCCTGTGTGTGTCTGAGGCTGTGGTCTTCAATCACCTCGCCTGTGCTCTGCCTCACCTGCTCCCTATCACCTTGTTTGTCTCAGCCCTCAAGTACCCCGGTGTTCTTTTGCTTGGTGCCAGATTGTTTGTTCAGCATACTTGGTGGTACACTCTTGGCTCCACTCAGTGAGTAGCTGGCTCCTTTGTGTTTCTCCCTGTTCCTGCTCTCCTGTCTGATCCCTGTATCTCCAGAGTTCCAGGCATTCCACCTCTTCAGAGTGTTCAGAGATCCTATCTCTTCCGAGGCTCAGGGATCCAACCTCTCCAGAGTTTCCGGAATCCGTCCTCTTTAGAGTTCCGGGGATCCTTCCTGTGTTGACCAGGTTCCAGGGTCAGCTCTCCAGTGCCTCCGGATCTTCGTACCCCGCCAGTTCTCCAGTCCACCCGTGCAGTTCGGGTCCCAGAGACAGCTCTCCAGTGTTTCCGTGTCTCCGGTCTGCCTGCTGACTCTCCGGCCGGCTCCTGCTGAGGCCGCCCCCCCTGTGTGTCTGTGTGTCTGCTCCTGGGTCCAGCCTAAACACTACACATCACAGTACTATTGTGACGCTCAAAATATTTAATTATGGTTGGAAGGTCTGCAACTGTAAAATACTGAAATAAAGTCGTAGAGGATCAGACAGGCAATGAAGGTTTTATGTACAAATATTTAAAAGCTAAAGCAGACTCTAATGACTCTAATCTCTGAGGCTAAAGCAACAAAATCTAATATATCTTTCAGCGAGCCTGGATCGGGCTGTACGATGACGTGGACAGCTGGAGGTGGTCACTGTCAGACAGAAGTTTCTACGGACTCGGGGAGACTGAGTTCAGAAAGTGGTATCCTGGACGACCAGGCAATGTGTATGATCGACCATGCACAATAATTAATACGGATGGACTGTGGTACGACTACAATTGTAAAAAACAGTACAAGTCTGTCTGCATGGATGTCAGAGGTGAGAATATCAACCAGTGAAGTTAAAAACATTAGTTCAGTTTCTGGAACTTTTCTCTGCTTGTCTTCGCCTCTTTGCTTTCATTATTTGGGACTTTAAAGAGTCAGTCAATCAAACTTTATTTGTATAGCACCTTTCATACAGTGCAAAGTGTTTTACTGATGACTTATATGGTGATAATACAGCACAAAGATCAAAATCAGATCCAAATACTTGATGTGTTTGACTCAAGTTATTTAAATACAGTGTGAATTTGCCTATAAAGTAATTAGATCAGCTTTGTTGTTTTTGTTTAATTGCCTGTTTAAGTCTAAGAATAATATTAGAAATAAAAAACAAATATATTGTACGCAACAATTCAGTGTCGCTTTTTAAAGATTCAGAAATCCTCAATAACATTTATTTGTAGTTTTTACAAATTCATTAGTTTATTGATGTGGTTCCTTATATCTCTGTGGATTTATAATACCATGATTTTTGCCACACCTTGGCAAATTGTATGTTATGGTACCTCTGCCCAGCACTTCACTGTGGTCTCTTTCCAGGACCCAATGTGACATTTGTCCTCAACAACAATCTCATGACATGGACCCAGGCCCAGAGCTACTGCAGAGAACACCACACAGACCTGGCCAGTGTGAGGAACATGACAGAGAACCTGAAGTTGAAGGAGCTGGTACCTTCAGGACAAGACATCTGGATCGGCCTTTTCTGGGACTCCTGGAAGTGGTCGGATGGAAGTAACTCCTCATTCAGGTATTGGAGACCAACGGAACCTAATAGTCAGGACGAGCCTTGTGTGGCAGCAGACTTCAGCCACTCTGGACAATGGGAGAACTGGAACTGTAACGTGAAGAGAGCATTCATCTGCTACAGCCAACGTGAGTGGTAACCCATGTTTCAGATAGTATTTATATTTAGGTTTAATTTAACATCAAATGTCCCAAATGAGAATGTAACAAACGATGCAAACATCAAGTTTTGGACAGAAGATAGATTTTAACACTGATGTTGATCATTTTCATGAATCTTTTTTTACCATGGTGATGGCTGCACGTGCACATGGTGTCACAAACCCAAAAGCAGAACCGACAGGTTGGTGAAAAACAAGTCTTTTATTCTTTAGAAGACGGTGAATAAGGTGAGCTGGTGGCGGGCTGATGTTTGGGCTGCAGTGAGGTCAGGTATCCAGGGGTGAAAGCTTGCAGTGGGGAACACTGGGGAATGAGAGCTGGCGACTGGCTTGGCAAACTGGTGTAGTGGAAATTCTTAAAGTTGAGAGGTGCTAAATCTCTGAAGAACTTTCAAGCCGGTGTGATAATCAAGTGCCTTTAATTCATGCAGCATGGAGAGAAGGTCACGTAGTGAATGTTCTCTCCAGACTTCCAAAATGCTCTCCCTTATATACATTTCGGTACATCTCATTACATCACAAACAATGAAACCCCCTGTTTGTCTTGCAATTGTTACTCCTGTAAATCCAGGTCTCTCTTACCAAATGGTCCTTTGATCTGTGACTTCCCCCTGGCTCTTCCTATTCTAAAATTCAACCCTTTGACCAGGGGCACATCTATTATTACCCCCAAATCCTGTTTCTTTCCCACACTGGTGTGGAGAGCTGGCAGACAGGTGATCCTGGAGGCAGAGAGAACCAGTGTAAAGAACTCAGACAGACAAACTAACAGGCTGGCAGCAAGACTGGCTGACTAGACTCTTCAGTGAGCTGAAGCGAGGCTCTAACATACTGTAGACTCTTCTCATTCTCTGTTTGGTGCCTCCTCGTCTCTTCTCTCCGAAACCATTCCTTATTTGCATTTGACCTTGATACAGGTAGTTGCTTTGCAGATGGGATGTGTGTATGCAATGGGGGAGGGGTGATGGTCCATTTCTGGCCCACCCTGCCTGTCTCCCATTGTGTTGCTGGGGGTCCAGATGAGGGTCTGTTCCTCCCCCTCTGTGGCCTGGCCCCTCTCTTCTCTCTGCTCTATGATTCCAGTTATCATAGTGGTTATTAGTATATTGCATTGTAATGATTACTATAGTATTATCAATTCATGTTATTGCATTACTATATTATGTCTATCTTTATCTTCTATGTCAGTTTCACCAATAAAAAAAAAAAACATACTGTTGAAATTCTGATGAATGCCTATATTATATGAACATGTATTTATTTTCACAGTTAAGAAGCAAGTGATAAAACTGAGTGTGCTGAAAGACTCCTCTCTGGATCTGAATGACCCTGCTGTGGTGGAACAAGTCTTGAAGCAGGTAAATCATGTTTGACCTTTCAAACTGTACGCAAACACAGAACAACCACATTTACAGCAAATTACAATAAAACTTTATTCATCCTTACAGGGGACAGTCACAAAAACAGCCTGAAGAGGTTGGAAACAGATACAGAGTTATTTAAAATAATAAATACAGCAACATAAGAACACTAAGTGATATTCAGAAGCTGTATACATTACAATACTTTGGCCATATACAACTTGAGCATTGTGTAGGAAGCTGTGCAGATACATATGTGCTGAAATAAAGAGTCTAGTAGTGCCACTCTGCAGGCCATATAGTTAAGAGTCAGCACTCAACTATCTGCCATCAAATGCAGCAGGAAAATGTGCAAATACAATCTAACAATCCGAGAAAAGCCAGAGCATTACAATAGAAGATATAGGGGGAAGAAAGTTCAAATGTACAACAGGTCAACAGGTTGAAGGAACATATGACTAACAATGCAGAATGTAATATCTCTGTGTGAGTGATAATGTTGAGGAGTTCTGTGTCTCAGATCAAACAGAGGCTGAAGGACCAGGGGGTGAATGAAGACATCAAACTGAGCTGGAGGAAGCAGTCAGATGGAAAGATCTTCCACAAGGACGAGAAGGAGACAGAGAAGAGGAAGAAGAGGGAGCTTTAATTGCTGTGTCTGTTTTCATCAGAGTCCTCATGTAATGGGTCAGAATATATCTGCAACAATCAGTCAGTTAATCAATTCATCATTTTATTTAACAAGCAAAAATAACAAATATTCACGGGTTCCAGTTTCTTAAATGTGAGGATTTGATGCTTTTCTTTATCGTATATGGTCATTAACTTAATATCTTTGGGTTTTAGGCAGTTGATCAATTAAAAACAGATGTTTGAATTTATCTGCTTGGGCTGTGGGAAACTGTAACAGGCATTTTCATTATTTTTGACATGACAATAATGAGAACGTTAATCAATAATAACAATAATCAATAATAATGGTAACTAGTTACAGCCCTCGGTAAGAATATGTATATATTATAATAGATATATGGGTAATGATTATATGCCAGCTTGTGACCTATCAACTTCCTTTAAAGATACTATCAGATTAGATTAGATAAAATCAGACACTGTATGTTAGATAAGATTAGATTAGATATAATATGATAAGATTAGATTAAATTAGATATAATATGATAAGATTAGATTAAATTAGATAACATATAAGATTAGATAAGGCACATGTGAGTGGCGGTGACATCATGAAAAAGTGTGAAATAAATGTGTCCTTGGAGAAAATGCCATTATGAAATGAAAATAATACTCAATAAAGTTATGTTATTGTGAAAATGAATGGTTAAAGTAACATTTCATAATGAGTTATGTGTCTTCACGTATTTAATTGGGTTAATTGTTTGAGCTTTACAGAATTTTTCATACCCTCTCCTGTCCAGTGAAAACCCTGTATCTCCAGGAGTGTTTTGAACGTTTGGGATAAACTGAAGATGTAGTTTTCCTTCATGGGTTGAGCAAATTATACTGTGAGATTATCCTTAGAGAGTTTAATAATCTAAACTTTAACTATTTCATGTAGTTTTCTTCAGAGATGAATGAAATGCTGAAATACAAGCCAACTGCGTATATATACAACTTATCTTACACCTCTTAACATTGAGAACGCCTCGCTACCCCGCGTGAATCTCTGGTGAACCCCTGGTGGGGGTCTCAACCCCCAAGTATCAGAAAGGACCAGATTCTTTAGATGCTCCTTAATTGAAACAATAAAAACATGTTTTTGGAAAAGAGGCACTTTAGATTCATTTTCTTTTAGCTGGAGAAGATTCTGGCATATTAAGCACTTTATTTGTGACAGATGAGATAATAAATGATGCCTGTTTCACTGGTTAAATGGTTATTATGATGCATTGCTGTGGATTAAACCACCCAACAGTACATAAAGCAGATAAAATGAGCTCAACCTTAAACATGTACAGCAGTAAAATGAAACATACACATTAATGCAGCCTTAATATACATCCACAAACACTGACAGGGAACATTTTACTGCACACTCACTACTTTTACTTCTCATACTTTAATGAATTACTCTTAAAACTATACCATGCTTGAATGCTTTACTTGTAGTGGAGTATCTTGGCACTGCGCTGTTGCTGCTTTGACTTCAGTAAAGTATCTGTAAGGGACATTTTGTGCTGTTTGTGTCGGAGCCTGGTTCTGAAGTTTCCTTTTCTCTGAGAGCACGTAAAGGCAACGTGACACGGCACGTCATCACGTCTCGCTGTTACCATGGAGACGGAGTAATCACAAGTTTGAGTCGTCGGAGGAATTCATGTTAATATTAATATTAGTTAAACACACAAAACAAGATCATCTAAAGAGTTGATATCTGTGGGACTGGGTGAGTGAAACTGTTGTTTAAAGGATATCGAACAGTCGCTCGTTTATACTTTATATTTAAACTTTTTAACCGTTAGTTAATGTAACGGTAGCTAACGTTATAGCTTAATGTCAGCTTTATTATCGCTGACTCACCGATCATTTAATTACATTTTAAATTTAAATACTACAGGCTACAAGAGAGAAGGAAAATAAAAGGTAACAAAAGTGTTTTATCTATATCTGTTAAACACTAACTGTGTTCCTCACACCAGTTATCAATATATTGATTTTACATTATCATTAACTCCAAACAAAGACTGTACTGATCCATCCAACATCAAATCACTGATCAATAACCACCTTTTCAATAGTGCTTTTGATGATTTTAATGATTCATTCTTGTTCAGTGTTGTAGATATAATTATATTATAGCTATAATTTATCCCTGTGTGGTTTTTATTACTACTTTTAACTATTCATAGCGCTTTATAAATTAAATGTATACGTTCCCAGCACACAGTAATAATGAGACACTTTCCCAATATGTCCAAATAATGACTTATCACAACGTCATTAATTTAATGTCGATATTTTGTTAAAGTTTCTCATTATAATGTCTTTAAAAAATCTATTTTTCCTGTCATACTGGTGGAAATGGGCTTTTATATATCGTGGTAGTCACAAACATAGAAAAATAACACACCATGGAACAGCACAACAAGACAGTGAGATATATATATATATATAACGTTATATATATATATACATATATACTTATATAGCAGATATATTCTTTTATTTTTCCTGCTCAGAGGCAATGGGTTTCCAATGGATCGGACTATTTGGAACCGGCTCTTCATTCCCATCCCCTAATACCCAGTATGTAACTAAATAATTTAATATACAGGTTATTATATAAAGCAGGGGCTTTCAAAGTGTGACACTGTGAAAGACACAATATAAAACTGCACGTAAATACAACACAGGGCGGATTCAAAACCCATTTTAAGGTATTGTGAATGTAAAAATCTTCATGAACACAGTTTTCACCTCGACTCTGAGTGTGTGTGTGTGTGTGTGTGTGTGTGTGTGTGTAAACTGGATTTAACATACTTTTATACAAGATGGAGACTGTACTGCAGTCAGACCTTGAGGAGCAAGTCAGACGTGGAGGGACACAGGAGGAGGAGGAGGAGGATGACCGAGAGCTGATGAAGCCGGAGGGGACTCAGGAGCTTCTGTGAGCATCCACATACACAGCGCACACACTCACACACTGAAGGAGGCCATCAGAGGTGGCTGAGGTACACACATTGTTTACTCAGGTAGAAGTCCAGATACTGCAACGCTGGCTGAAATTTACAAATCATTCTTAAAAATGACTAATTTGTGCGCTCAATAAAGCTTTTAATACATTTAGGGCTGAAACAGTAATTTAAGAAAATAAACAATGTTGATAATCAATTAAATACTTGGCAGATTAATCGAAAATTTAAATAATGGTTCATTGCTACGAGAGAGTATTAGGCCCATACTAAGAGGAAAAATAAATAAATAACATTTTGGAAATTACGAGAATAAAGTCGTAATATTACGAGAATAATGTAACAACACAAGAAAAAAAGCTTCGATAGAGTTATGAAGATCTGACGTGAGCAGCTCAACCAATCAGCATCCTCAGCCTGAGCCCAGCAGTCGCTGTTTGTCTCAGTCGTAGCGTACAGTCAACAGGTAAACTAACGTATTGATTATTTCATCGTTAAACAGTTTTACTGGCTGAGCCAACAGGCTGACAGTTCTCATAAAATTACTACTTTAATCTCGCAATATGAGAAACCTTGTGAGCATAATAATTCACTGTCTTCACCTGCTGTCCCTCACCAGTCTGAACTTGGACAAGCCAGACGAGCTGTCTCCTGAGTCCTACAGGGTCAACTCCCCCGACGAGGTCCGACTGTTGGCCATCGCAGACAACTTTCAGCGTCAGTATTCACACTTGTATCCCGACCGCAAACCGCTGCTGCTCTGCCCGGTCAACGAATGTGGTGTTAAGGTAACGCTCGACCTACTGGACACGTCGTCTGTCCTTCAAACAGCCTGTATACTGTTTGTATCTCTGTCTCATGCTGCGCATATTCGTCCGATCCTCAGAAGTTTGTGTCTATGACTCTTCGGCCCACAACCACAATCTACCCTGACCTTTTCAGCTGGGAGGGCTGTGCCTCCTTTGTGGCTGACTTCCTGTCTCTGGACCCTTTGGACCCTCCTGCGGACCTGGTCAGAAAGATAATAATTTGATCCACTTGTGTGCACTTTAACCCCCAACTGGCCAAATAGTTTAGTGTTTGCTCGGTGGTCAGAGAGGGTCTCTTTCATCATGCCACGTTCATATCATGTTGGAGTTACAGTAACCACCAGTTTCTGGATGGGAAAGGCTGCAAGCGCCTCTTTAAAATGACACCTACGGAACATGTTTCAACTTTACAGAAAGGTGGATGAAAGAAACCCTTGATAAGACAATAGATAGGTAGCCTGGAACATACACATCTGTAAACACATGCAGCTTCTGTCCAGTGTGTGTGTGTGATGGTGTGTGTGTGTGTGTGTGTGTGTTGCTGTCCTAGCCCCGCTACCTGTTCTCCTCCACCTCGGTGCTGCAGACTCAGAGAGCCACGTGTTTTGAGTTTGCCACCCTGCTGTGCAGCCTGCTGCTCGGCGCTCACTACGACGCGTACTGCGTCAGCGGCTACGCAGTCAGAGAGATGTGTCTGCTCGACCAGAGCCTGAAGGAGTGCCCCCTGCTGGACACTGAGGTCAAGGTAAGCGCTGCTCTCACGGTGAAGGGCCACAGCCAGTCAGACGGGTCTTTGACTCCCAGATATGAATGTGTCTGTTGTTTGCAGAGTGGGATCTCAGAGCAGGAGCTGCAGGACAATAAATACACAGTGAAACCTCTGAGGGACCTGAAGAGTCACTTTTTGATTCAGCAAGAGAAGAAGAAACAGGACGCCGAAGCTGCGCTGATTCAGAAACAAAAACTTCTAGAGGTAGCATGATCTTTTCACTGCAAAACCAACAGAACACAGAAACTTCTTACTGATGAAAATAACAAAAGGTCCCTCAAATGAAGCTTAAAGTTGGATATTGTACCCTTCTGTCTCTACTCGCCCTCCTTTTACCTTTGACCTCTTCTTTCTCTCCATTAACAGAGCGGGCAGCGGCCGGCTGACCCCCTGCGAGGACTGCGAGTGCACTGTTGGGTGCTGGTGCTGTCGGGGAGTCGGAGCGTCCAGGAGAACTTCTTCATCGACCCTCTGACTGGCAAAAGCTACGCCACTGACGATGACAACTTCCTGGGCATCGAGAGCGTGTGGAACAATCTCAACTACTACGTGAACATGCAGGACTGCAGGAACGGCTGCGCTGTGAGTCCGCGACAACTGCAGATAATACACTGTCAGAGTCAATAGAGTTAATAGATCTGTGAGTAAGAATGAGAATAAATACATAGTGTGTGTGTGTGTGTGTGTGTGTGTGTGTGTGTGTGTGTGTGTGTAGGATATGGTGTATGACCTGGAAGATTTAAAGATGTGGGAGCCAATCTTGTTCGGTGCAACCAGCAGAAAGCAGCTGATTCTCGACGTCTTGAAGAAGAAGGAGAGTAAGATGATGAGCAAAATCAACAAGGATGAAGAGGTGTGTGAGTGTGTGTGTGTGTGTATTTTTCTGTGTGTGTATATATTGGCTATTTAGACCTAAAGGCTTGATATGTATATTTGATTAAACTGTTGTTAATAATAATTAAAAGTGTATCCTGTATCATCCATCGCCAACAGTGACAAACACTAAGCGTGTAAAATAACTAACAATCATATTTAGAATAACGTTACTATCTGCAATGTTCCTATATTTTATTTGGACCGTTAGCTCCATGCTACTAACTAGCTCGCCGTTTACAAATCACCCCATCAGCCAACACCACGAAGCAACTGACACCAGACCCACACCGCACAGCCAAGATACAGCCAGAGTCCAGTTTTCATTATAAAACATCAGTTTAAGCCAGAGTTTACAGAGTTACAGCTCAATGAAACACTTGATTTTACCGTGAATGACGTTAAATGTAAACTCAATAACGTGATTTTGCTCGTTTTGAAGGATGAGGAGCAGCCCAGAGTTTTTGAGATGCCGAGATCCTGGGTCAGTTACATCAGTATCTCAAAAAAAGGTACAGTAACTCAACAGGAGCACGATTTATCTGATGGTAAGAGCCTGTACACTCTTTATGTTCAAGATCTAATTAGTGTTTTATATTCAGCCTGTAAAGAAGATCAGAGCTAACTGACCAAACATTAAAGCATCGAGACAAAAACATAAAACAACTTAGCGGAACAGTTTACATCAAAATCAAAAATACAAATATTTCCTCTCACCTGTAGTGCGATTTGTCCGTCTGGAAAGAAAATAGATCCTACATGAAACTGCTCACAGCAACGTCTGTGGATCATCTTGAGTAATTATTATTATTTCTTTTATTTGAACAGTAATCAGGTCATGATTTCTGGAAAGAGACATTGCTGCTGAGTATTTGAAATGTTGTTTTTCTTTGGCGCTTTGAGCTCAATCTGCTTCCATTGTACTGGAGAGAAGGCAGACATCTCTACAAATCTCCACAAACAGCCGCCTCTCTTTTCTTATTCAGACCTGGAGAATCGCTGGCTGGGGGGACACAAGGTGACCTGGTACAGAAAAGCAAAGCTCGAGAAGTTTGCACCTTATCTGAGGTCAGAGGGCTTGGTCACACGACTGACGGCATACAAAGACCTGGACTGTGAGACATACAGGCTTTTAGGGCATTTTTACTAACAGTAGCCGGTAAACACATGCTAAATTATGTGTTTTGAATTTGTGCATAACATGAGTGTGTGTGTGTGTGTTGTAGGCACTAAGGTCGTCACGGTGAAGGAACAGTATCAACACAGAAAGGACCACCTGGAGGAGAGGGAGATCAACAAGGTCGACAACTTCACCACAGAACACTTCAAACGGGGACGAAGTTTCCACCTTTTATGTAAATCTGCTTTCTGCCGCCGTCACCATCACCTAAGACTTGTTTTATGTAGGATCACATCTCATCTCTTTCCTCCTATCGTTATTTCTTCATCGACCCTTCTTACTTATGAGTCTTGTACACGTGGTAAAAAGCACATCACACTTCAAACTAATAATTCTAAGCAGGTTTTGTAGTTTTTAAATTTGTAATATAAAAAAATCATAGTCTCATTGTAAGTAATCAACTGAGAAAGTTTCGTTGGTGATATCTATTAGTTAAGAAAATGTGTTCCAGTTCACAGGTACATATCCCGGAGCATTGACACTGAGCGCGAGATGGCGTTCGACAGTGCTCGTGCTGACAATCTGGTGCGGCGGATGGAGTTACCGGACGAAATGACGGAGATCTTTGAGGGCCGGGAGGACTTCCTCTACTACCGGCACGCCATCTTCAGTCGACACATCCGGTTTTCAGTCTGTATTTCTATTTTTTTTTTTATTGTTCCTACTGAAGACTCACCTATAACACCAAATAGTGACTTTTAAAGGCTCTGTAATTTGCTGAAACACCTGTCACTGTATCTTTCTTGACGGAGTATTGCCTTTATTATTCTTTGTATTGCTTTCCACTTCCCTTGTCACAGCAGCAATTACTTGAAATAAATAAATACAGATATAAAAAAAACTATGATAAAGTGGTAAAGCTATGGTATGGTGGTAATTTGAAAAACAGGTCAAGCCCGAGGTGTAAAGGGTGAAGAGGAAGGGAGAGAGCACCGTACCCTGAGGGGCAGTGATGGAGTCTCACATACTGTGGTCTGTTGGTGGTTTCTCACAATATTACGACTTTATTCTCGTAATTTCCCAAAAAAAGAAAAAATGTTTTCTCTTAGTCCGGCCCTAATCCGTCGTACTTATCAAACAAACAGGAGGAAATTGTGCATTTTTTAAGGGACTATTTTCAGCAGTGTGGATTAATCATCCACACTTGGTGCTCTAGTGAGAATTGAACTGTTGTCCCGTTCCATCAACATCCCGGACCAAGAACTCACAGACAGAGTGCCGGACGAGAGGAGGCGGACTCTGTTTGAGAGACGGTTTATTTTTATGTAAAGATGAAACCTGATTATCTTCACTGTCTTGTTGCTGCTGTTCACATTCAACCTGGTGCAAAAGATGACCTGCAGAATTATTTCCTGGGTGTATAGTGTATGAATATATGTAGATGTATAACTCTATATATTGTTTGTTTGTTTTTTTTTATTTATTGTATTTGTTCTAATATAAATTTAATGATCTTTTTCTGTTTGTGACACTGCAAAAAATGTCCTTGATCCTTGACAGCATGAATACAGTCCTATAAAGACTGAATGCCAGGATCACACATCACGTGGACTTGAAGTACTTCACCGCAGTATTACTTAACTCGTAAATATGTGAGGCTGTAGATGTAAACAGTAAGTCTGAAGTCTGTTGTAAACTTAATCAGCAGCCAGGGGACTTTAAGGTCTCGGATTGGCTGAGAGGAGGTTTTGTTGCTTAAAGTGAGTGCCACTAACGCAGAGGATGTTCCTCATATTGTATTCATGCTTATGTGCATTTGTGTGTGCCAACAGAAAGTGGTGGAGCGTTTCCACAGGAACAGATCCAAACCGGCCAGCGAAGACGTGGCCGAGCGAGTGTTCCTATTGCCTCAAAGACAGATCGAGGTGACCTATCACTTAGA